GCCAGACCGTCGGGCTGATCTTGGTGAGCATGGGGCTACTGTCAGACCGTCGGGCTGATCTTGGTGAGCATGGGGCTACTGCCAGACCGTCGGGCTGATCTTGGTGGGGATAGACAATGACACACGATACTTCGGGTCACATAGTCAGAACGACGCATCACACTTTGTGACTGTCCTCTACATAGCAATAACACTATGTCACATAATATAATAATATATATATTCAGTAGAATAATAGAAATAACACACACACATTATATATATAGAGAGAAATAGAATACTAAGGGCAGGGAATGCCTATGCCGAATGGCTCTTCACAAGTATTTCAGCCCACCTATTTGACAGGTCACAGGTATTTTTCCCACCCATTTCACAATCAAGGGTAACTATCTTGTAAATTAGGTTATATTTCAAAGAGATGAGGAAAACTTCATTCTTACTTATCAATCCAAAGACGTGCATATATAATATGCACGTCCGTGATCAAGTTGATGGTGATCATATCATTATCAAGTTTATGTTCTTGCATCTCATAGTATTAAAACATATGAACTTGGTGACAACTTGTCAGAAGGACCATCGCAAGAGCTTCTTGATATTTTTAGGCAATTGTCCCCTAAAATATTTACATACTTGGAATTCGCGGTTTCCACATAAAAACGTTAACGAGTATAATAACAATTCACAAGAGAGATAAAAGACATTTCACAGATATTCGCGTGTAATTTATTTGTAAATTCACGAAAATAAGACTGCGAGAAAAAACGTTTAACAGCTTTGTGAAATATCGAATCGCGGCAAATTAAAAGAGCAAATCATGTATAACACCGGCTCTTACTTTCAAGTCGACACTACCCTAAGAAGACCGGAGTTGGGCGATGTGTCTGGCTGTCAAGTCTACACTATCCTAAGAAGGCCAAGGGTTGGTGATGTGTCTTACTATCAAGTCTACACTATCCTCAGAGGGCCAAAGGTTGGAGTGATGTGCCTGACTGTCAAGTCTACACTACCCTCAGAAGACAGGGGTTGGCTGATGTGTCTGACTGTCAAGTCTACACTACCCTCAGAAGCAGTGTCTCTACACTGTGAATGATATATCAGAGAGGCAGTATCTCTACACTGTGAATGATATATCAGAGAGGCAGTATCTCTACACTGTGAATGATATATCAGAGAGGCAGTATCTCTACACTGTGAATGATATATCAGAGAGGCAGTATCTCTACACTGTGAATGATATATCAGAGAGGCAGCATCTCTACACTGTGAATTATATATCAGAGAGGCGGTATCTCTACACTGTTAATGATATATCAGAGAGGCAGTATCTCTACACTGTTAATGATATATCAGAGAGGCAGTATCTCTACACTGTTAATGATATATCAGAGAGGCAGTATCTCTACACTGTGAATGATATATCAGAGAGGCAGTATCTCTACACTGTGAATGGTATATCAGAGAGGCAGCATCTCTACACTGTGAATGATATATCAGAGAGGCAGTATCTCTACACTGTGAATGATATATCAGAGAGGCAGTATCTCTACACTGTGAATGATATATCAGAGAGGCAGTATCTCTACACTGTGAATGATATATCAGAGAGGCAGTGTCTACACTGTGAATGATATATCAGAGAGGCAGTATCTCTACACTGTGAATGATATATCAGAGAGGCAGTATATCCACACTGTGAATGATATATCAGAGAGGCAGAATCTCTACACTATGAATGATATATCAGAGAGGCAGTATCTTTACAATGTGAATGATATATCAGAGAGGCAGTATCTCTACACTGTTAATGATATATCAGAGAGGCAGTATTTCTACAATGTTAATGATATATCAGAGAGGCAGTATCTCTACACTGTGAATGATATATCAGAGAGGCAGTATCTCTACACTGTGAATGATATATCAGAGAGGCAGTATCTCTACACTATGAATGATATATCAGAGAGGCAGTATATCCACACTGTGAATGATATATCAGAGAGGCAGAATCTCTACACTATGAATGATATATCAGAGAGGCAGTATCTCTACACTGTGAATGATATATCAGAGAGGCAGTATCTCTACGCTGTGAATGATATATCAGAGAGGCAGTATCTCTACACTGTGAATGATATATCAGAGAGGCAGTATCTCTACACTGTGAATGATATATCAGAGAGGCAGTATCTCTACACTGTGAATGATATATCAGAGAGGCAGTATCTCTACACTGTGAATGATATATCAGAGAGGCAGTATCTCTACACTGTGAATGATATATCAGAGAGGCAGTATCTCTACATGGAATGATATATCAGAGAGGCAGTATCTCTACACTGTGAATGATATATCAGAGAGGCAGTATCTCTACACTGTGAATGATATATCAGAGAGGCAGTATCTCTACACTGTGAATGATATATCAGAGAGGCAGCATCTCTACACTGTGAATGGTATATCAGAGAGGCAGCATCTCTACACTGTGAATGATATATCAGAGAGGCAGTATCTCTACACTGTGAATGATATATCAGAGAGGCAGTATCTCTACACTGTGAATGATATATCAGAGAGGCAGTATCTCTACACTGTGAATGATATATCAGAGAGGCAGTGTCTACACTGTTAATGATATATCAGAGAGGCAGTATCTCTACACTGTGAATGATATAGCAGAGTGGCATTGTCAAACCCCAACAGAAACACTATGAAATGCATTGTTCGCAGAAGATGAACTGAGAAGTGATGTAAAACCCTTATATCTCGCTGACCAAAGAACCAAAGTTGATATTAGATTTTGTAACGTCATGGTGGCCTTGGCCTTCCCGGATAGTGTGACAATGCATGCTTGGCATGTAAATGATACTACTTGGAGTCCAATTACAGCGTTGGGAGCAGTTGTCCACTGTCTGAGAACGGGAATGACCATAATAACACCAGTTATAGATAATTAGAGAAATAGATCGGAGCAATTGATTACCAGCTATCCCCGCGCGTGACATGCAGCCGACACCGTGAACGAGGACGGTTCAAACCATTGCCTTATATAGATTAGAGAAGAGATGTCCCCACTTCTAAACTTACTGATGACTGTAAAAGTTGGTAAACGAATGTTGGCGCTTCTGTTTCTGCTGATTTCAGGAAAGGTCACGAGATATGTTAGAACGATTCATCCGTCAATCTTAGTTCGAGAATTCTTTAGAGACTTTGAAATTGACATGGAAAGTTGGCATGAGTGACAGGGGTAATCTGGTTGGCGTGCACCAAATTGGATTGTCACTGAGCTCAACTGGGCAACTTGATATTACGTGATTTCAGTGATACGATTACAACAACATCGAATCCAATTATTAACATATGAATACACCTTTATCAAATAACATCATTCATATACAATGATCACATAGATAGAAACATAAATACACTACCATTCAAATATTGCTAAATATAAATATGATCTGAATGTCATCTCTCGTCTGTATCCCGGTCCTTCCGCTGAACATTGGACTCTGAACACGAGGGGAAGATGAGTTATAGGAAATATTATCACATAAATACAAAGCCATGATGTTTGGAATAGTGATGAATATGGAGTGTATCACGTGTACAGGGGCCACCTTGTTCACCTCAACAGTTTTACGAATGAAGCAATAAGCAATATTGAATGAACAGTAGTGATGATGGACCATGCGACGATGACGGTAAATGAATCGCATATCCTGAAGTCTCTTATATAGTGTTCTTACGACTACATATAGTACACACGTGCTCACACGTGAAGTCTTCAAGCATAGGCTAAAGAGACACATGATATGTGGACTGTAACAGTAAACAGGTATTTGCAGATCGTTCGTATGCGTTTATTCCTCATACCAGAAAATAACACACACATATGCATGTAGAGTCTTTTTTTGTGAAACATGTGCTGTAGTCAACAGGTGTTCCAAAGTCTTAATCACAACCAAATTCTAGTTTGTAAAATACATTTTCAGTGGAGCGCGCCTTTCTGCTTTTGAAAATTACGGAACTTGTTTTTTAATAAGCTCAAAATGATCGAATGATGGGGGATGGCAAGGTTTTGCATGGGGGAAACTGGTGTCGAGAAATTGTGATGCATTTCATCCCACACTTATAATGGCGAACCGGTTCATGTCCTCCCTGCCTGGTAATGCAAAACGTCGCTCACTGTTAAGCTATTACTGAAATCGACATGACAGGCGCACGTATGGATTATTCTCCTAGTTTGTCTATTTCACTCTTAATTGATACCTGTCAAACGGGGGTAGTTGACGCGGGGACACTGCACGAAATATGTGAAATACAACGTGGGATTTAGTCCCGAATCAATAAGGAAACAGCTGGCCCCCTTGCAAGGTCTAACATGTTGTTTCAACATATGGGAAGCGACATGTATGATCAGAACATATCAGTTACTAGTTGTTTCGGCATAAAATGCATATATCTGCTTGATAGAAAGAGAAAAGGATTCTGTTGGAAATGCACAAAGACAGTTACTGGTAATAATGGAAACAAATCTTGCGTGCGACTCCCCAAGATGTTTTCTACGTGACATTTACAAGGTATGTTAATTATCCAGGCGAGGCGACAGCAATCGACACGTAATGGACTGTCTTGCACAAATTGTGAAGATCACCGTGCAACGAAATTGAGTGCACACTGAATGAAATAAACACGCAAAGTCTTTATTTACGTAAGAATAGTTTATGAAGCGAGCAAGAGAGCCTGACGTCACTCAACTCCCTGGAGAAGACATTGCTCTTGTGACTTTCACCAGGTGTAGCAATTACTGAAATGTACACGCCTACCTGCCTGTCACACTCGTCACACACACCGTGACTAAAGGAACTTGGAACTGAAATGCAAGTAATTAATCTGCAATGTCGCGCATCGCCAAGAAACTTCTCCCACATCATACTTAACATAAATAAATTATCTTGAATTGTCTATCGATATCTATCTACCTGGCTCAACCTCACCTTCCTCATACTCCTCGAAACACGGGGGGTCCTCCTCCCCTTCGTCAGAGGCGTCGTACATTTGGCTGGTAGTGTGTCTCCCCTCAACAAAGTAAATATCCACTCATGTACATCGTGTAACCCTCTCCTATGCGTTCTACTAACATGTCACAATACAATCCCTCGGCTGTCTGGCTAAGCGACTATGTCCAAGTCCCATAGGGGCGACCGTCACTTCAGTGAAGAAACACAGCACAGTCGCCAATCATAACATCATTGTTAAAAGGCAATGATAGCACAGTGGGCAGCAATAAACAGCAATATTTGGAAGTTTTCTAAAAAAAATAGCCAAAGTCAATTTTATCTATGTAGTGGCTACTCCCTGGCACCGTCCTGATGTGACCCAATGTTCGAAGCGACGTGCCGATGAGAGACAAGCGATTTGATTGGTTGACAAGAACGGAGAAAGTAGTACCGCATCTTCGGCTCCAGGTACATTATCGATCGAGGATTTCTTCGTATGTCAACGGTTAATTTCTGAGGACGAGGACGGGGAACAATTCGTGAGCTCACGTGCTGTCACTGCTGGACGTAGTAACGATCGCCGCAACATCGTGAAGTCTGCAAATGCCGGCAGACACACTGGAAGAGCAGCTTCCACACAAGACCCTTTAAGAGATTATGGACGTGCACTCTACCGAAGAAGCTATATTACCTTCGCTAATGGTTTTATGTGGAAGTGCCAATGAAGCTGTGATGTTTATAGTCAGCTGACCAGGACAACCTCCACATGTCGCCAGCACGAGTATCGGTGTGTTGAGGCAGGTTTTGATAGCAAATGTAGACAAACTCACCCCATATGTTGTGGTCAAGGCCTCAGATGTCAATTGAATATTTTAAAGATTTCCTAAGCTGTATTAATTAGACCTGTCTGGCTGTCAATACCTCGCCTCACTGCGCATAAGGTACAACGGTTCTTGATAAATGCATCAGCTTTATTTTACGTGATAAAGATTTTAAAATCTATATCACCTTGAACATTATGCATGCTCTGGCAATCCAGCTGTAGCTTCACAGCATGTGACCTGCACATCGTGTCTTCACACGGTGTTTCCACTGCTCCACATGCAGTGATGCCTCTTGCTGCCAAGCGCTTGCAGTGAACACGTCATAACATTGTCATACCCGTGAAGATCCGGGTTAGAATTGATCTGCAGCACCCCATGCTTGTCTCCCCCGTGAAGATCCGGGTTAAAATTGATCTGTAGCATCCCATGCTTGTCTCCCCCGTGAAGATCCGGGTAAGAATTGATCTGTAGCATCCCATGCTTGTTTCCCGGTGAAGATCCGGGTTAGAATTGATCTGTACATAGCATCCCATGCTTGTCTCCCCCGTGAAGATGCGGATTAGAATTGATCTGCAGCACCCCATGCTTGCCTCCTCCGTGAAGATCCGGGTATGAATTGATCTGTTGCATCCCATGCTTGTCTCCCCCGTGAAGATCCGGGTAAGAATTGATCTGTAGCATCCCATGCTTGTCTCCCCCGTGAAGATCCGGGTTAGAATTGATCTGCAGCATCCCATGCTTGTCTCCCTTGTAAAGATCCGGGCTAGAATTGATCTGTAGCATCCCATGCTTGTCTCCCCTGTGAAGATCCGGGCTAGAATTGATCTGTAGCACCCCATGCTTGTCTCCCCTGTACGGATCCGGGTTAGAATTGATCTGCAGCATCCCATGCTTGTCTCCCCTGTAAAGATCCGGGTTAGAATTGACCTGTAGCATCCCATGCTTGTCTCCCCCGTGAAGATCCGGGTTAGAATTGATCTTCAGCACCCCATGCTTGCCTCCTCCGTGAAGATCCGGGTAAGAATTGATCTGTAGCATCCCATGCTTGTCTCCCCCGTGAAGATCCGGGCTAGAATTGATCTGCAGCACCCCATGCTTGCCTCCTCCGTGAAGATCCGGGTAAGAATTGATCTGTAGCATCCAATGCTTGTCTCCCCTGTGAAGATCCGGGCTAGAATTGATCTGTAGCACCCCATGCTTGTCTCCCCTGTAAAGATCCGGGTTAGAATTGATCTGCAGCATCCCATGCTTGTCTCCCCTGTGAAGATCCGGGTAAGAATTGTTCTGTAGCATCCCATGCTTGTTTCCCGGTGAAGATCCGGGTTAGAATTGATATGTAGCATCCCATGCTTGTCTCCCCCGTGAAGATCCGGGTAAGAATTGATCTGCAGCACCCCATGCTTGCCTCCTCCGTGAAGATCCGGGTAAGAATTGATCTGTAGCATCCCATGCTTGTCTCCCCTGTGAAGATCCGGGCTAGAATTGATCTGTAGCACCCCATGCTTGTCTCCCCTGTAAAGATCCGGGTTAGAATTGATCTGCAGCATCCCATGCTTGTCTCCCCTGTGAAGATCCGGGTTAGAATTGTTCTGAAGCATCCCATGCTTGTTTCCCGGTGAAGATCCGGGTTAAAATTGATCTGCAGCACCCCATGCTTGTCTCCCCCGTGAAGATCCGGGTTAGAATTGATCTGCAGCATCCCATGCTTGTCTCCCCTGTAAAGATCCGGGCTAGAATTGATCTGTGGCATCCCATGCTTGTCTCCCCCTGTGAAGATACGGGCTAGAATTGATCTGTAGCACCCCATGCTTGTCTCCCCTGTAAAGATCCGGGTAAGAATTGATCTGCAGCATCCCATGCTTGTCTCCCTTGTAAAGATCCGGGTTAGAATTGATCTGTAGCATCCCATGCTTGTCTCCCCTGTAAAGATCCGGGCTAGAATTGATCTGCAGCATCCCATGCTTGTCTCCCCTGTGAAGATCCGGGTTAGAATTGATCTGCAGCACCCCATGCTTGCCTCCTCCGTGAAGTTTCGGGTTAGAATTGATCTTCAGCACCCCATGCTTGCCGTAAGAGGCGCCCAACCGGATCAGGTGGTCAGGCTCGCTGACTTGGTTGATGAATGTCATCGTATCCCATTTGCGTAGGTCGATGCCCATGATGTCAATCACTAGATTGTTAGGTCCAGATTGCCATCACATAGCTGGAAAATTGCTGAGTGCGGCGTCGAACAACAACGAACGAACGAACAAATAACATTGGCATTGCATGCGGGTGAGACATATGTGGAGACATGTTGATGCAGCGTATGGAAGTCCGCCACAGAACAGGTCCCTGGTACCATTTTTGTGGAAAGAACTCCTGGATCAGGAGGTGACAATGTGTGAACATTATAATTAGGTGTCGTGGTACCCCGGTGACTAGATCGTTGTTCAAGCTGTCAAACACTGGTAAGGTACGCGGAACACGCTTACATCATAAATATAGTTTAGAAAAATGGCTGTCTAGTTTAACGATGTGTTACTATTGAGGTGGTGTGGTCACTGACACATATTGTATTCTCCGATAACCAACAGAAACTAGGACACTGTATATAACTGGGAAGTATTGATGAAACGGGTTTGCCATCCAATGTAAACTCGACTGATCTATACAACCGCAACACAATACTTGTGCAATATCCAGCACCACATGTGACATGAACACTGTACATCTAAATATATTCATCAGATGTAATGATGTACACGTACGAATGATCAACAGATATAACACAGTACATGACGTACGTAGGATCATCAGATGTCAAATTGTACCTGACGTACGTAGGATTATCAGATGTCACACAGTACATGACGTACGTAGGATCATCGGATAGCACCCTGTACAAGTAGGTAGGATCATCAGATAGCACACTGCACATGACGTACGTAGGTTCATCAGATGTCAAACTGTACATGACGTACGTAGGATCATCAGATGTCTGGCTGTACATGATGTACGTAGGATCATCAGATGTCACACAGTACATGACGTACGTAGGATCATCGGATAGCACCCTGTACAAGTAGGTAGGATCATCAGATAGTACACTACACATGACGTACTTAGGATCATCAGATGATACACTGTACATGATGTACGGAGGATCATCGGATATCACACTGTACATGACGTACGTACGATCATCAGATAGCACACTGTACATGACGTACGTAGGATCATCGGATGTCACTGTACATGTCGTACGTAGGATCATCAGATACCACCCTGTACAAGTAGGTAGGATCATCAGATAGCACACTGCACATGACGTACGTAGGATCATCAGATAGCACACTGCACATGACGTACGTAGGATCATCAGATAGCACACTGTACATGTACGTAGGATCATCAGATAGCACACTGTACAAGTACGTAGGATCATCAGTTAACACACAGTACCTATACGTATATTTTTGACATTGCAGCGTCGGTAACTTAAGAAATATACTTTACACGCAGATAAATCACACCGAACTGAAGTTTCTAATTTTTGCGAACGGATTGTTAAATATAGGAGAAAAATAGCATTAATCACATCAAGCCGAACTCATTTGAATGTAGAATGAAAAAAAGAAACGTCTGAATTAAATGAACTCAATTTTTTCAAATAAACATTTTTTTCATATGAAATATTGTCTATCATTCTGCCAAATCCGCGAAAAATGTCTATTTCATTCCAACGGAACCTTTTTAACATAAATAACGCCTGCATAACTCGCCCTGAAGTAGACACATGACAAAAGTCACCGAGCCCGTTCAGTACACTTTTTCGCCGTACTGTTCAGCCCGTGAAAACACTGCAACAGCTTTATCAAGACGGTCTGAACAAGGCAAACCACTGACTAAAATAAAAGCATGAACACCGGATTCAGTCAAAACCAGAGCGTATATTTCGAACCATGACGTAAACATGTGAAGCGTAGGGCATGTATCTGAACCTGACCTGAACCACAGTGTATGTGCGTAAAACTGTGTTGTGTGGACCCACTACGTGGACAACGCCGGCGATGTTACTGATGCTGGAGTGGATACTGTTCCCTCAAGTGCGTTGCCTAATGTGGCGTCTCACTCAAGGGAAACGGTACTCCATAAACACGTCTACATAGATATCATCCAGTTTATACTAAATAGCTTCTGTCACTGTCCTAGAGCAAACCCTTAACAAGTTGAGCAAAGCTTGGTATTATTACAGAAGAAACCTGCCCTTGGCTCTCAGATAGAGTATGACAAATATTGGTCTTGGTGGCCTAGCCGAAATCCCAGCATGTTTGCATGGGTGTTAGCTTGGCTATGGGAATGGCGGTTAATATCAATTTCTATCAGATCAGCTGATCGACCTGTCAATCACGCTGTGCAATATGACTGAGAATACGGACAGAGGGAAACGGAGATTGGATCCTATTTGCTTTTTGAACATTTTTCTTCAACTTTTACCATGGAAATTGACTTAGTGAGAGAGCTCAAGTTCAGATTTCATGTTAATTTCGGTTGTCAGTTTCAAATAGGTAGCGTGATTGTGTCATGGTGAAATCTTGTATGAAATAGAGTTGAGATGAAAGGGATGGCGCGGCTTAAGGGATTGATATAGGGTGTTGATATTGACTACTGGGATGAGAAGAAGGCCGCCCTCGAGGGGGAGACGGAGATGGTTCAGGAGGGAATATGAGAGGGATAAATAAATGGATGAACCGACATACTTAACGTGATTGTAAGATTTATCGGAATCTAATATCGATATCGATATCGAATATTGAAGAAAAGTTAATATGACAATTGAAACGTTTAAGAATTAGAATATTTAACACGCCACTGAACACGCAGTGATTTGATTAGATACATGGCAGTGAGAACAGCGTTGCCACGTTCATACTTTGATTTAATGTCAATATGTTACAGCGTCAGCACAGGAGAGGCAGTATCCATACAGCTTTGGTGTGTCTGATTACAGGGAGATCA